AGGAGGGGGGGGGGGGGGGGGGGGGGATAGGGCCTGTTTAGCCTTCAGAAGCGAAGGATGAGCAGGGATTTGAAGGTGCTCTTGAAAATGGTGGTTGCATAGAAAACAGTCTCTGCCCTTTCAGGGTGAAGGACCCAGAATGGTGGATTTAAGCTGCATTCCGCCAAAACTGCTTTCCTGTAAGGAAAGTCTCAATGCTCTGCTTTCTTGTAAGGAAAAACTTGACAGAAGATAATCGAAAAGTTGATTGAGTTGGGAAGGACACCAAGGAACATCTAGTCCAACCCTCTGCAGTGTGCAGGAAAATCAGTTAAATCATTGGTTCTTAAGTTTGCCGTGCTATTGCAGTAGAAACTGCACACAATTTTTTGTGTTTTTTTGTTAGCTGCTTTGATTGATTGATTGATTGATTGATTGATTGATTGATTGATTGATTGATTATGTGCTGTCAAGTTGTCATGGACTCCTAGCGACCACATGGATCGATTTTCTCCATGACGATCTGTCCCAAATTTACTCATTCAGATCTTCTCATGGTACACCCATTGCCGCTGTAACTGAGTCCATCCGCCTTGCTGCTGGTCATCCTCTTCTTCTCTTTCCTTCCATCTTTCCCTCCATTATAGACTTCTCAAGGGAGCTGGATCTTTCCATTGAGTGAGTGAGTGTTTACGTGCCCTCAAGTCAGTGTCACCTCTTAGCAACCACATAAATAGATTTTCATCATGGTGACCTGTCCCCAACCTGGTCTTTCAAGGCCTTCTAATGGTGCCCCCATGGCATCTGTAACTGAGTCCATCCCCCTTGCTGCTGGTCATCCTCTTCTTCTCCTTCCTTCCACCTTTTCCAGAAAACCAGGTCTTCGCATAGCTGCTTTGAGTGCTCTTTAACATTTTTTAATAACAGTAATAACTTGAAGAGGGCTTTAGAGGGCACTCCTGGTTTTCACAGGAGTAAGTGTGGATGCAGAAGAGTGTTTTTCAACCTTGGCAACTTTAAGAATGGGGGGACTCAAACGCCCGAAAT